AAGGGACCCTCTTTTTGTCTTTTAATAACTCTGTCTTGATTAACAATGTGTATGTGTGTGTGCTGGCTTTGTAGGACTAGAAATGAGATGAACAGTTTATCACTAGTGACATATTGGTGAAAAGTTGTTACATCTAAGTCTGGAAGCTCTCAGCAGAGGTAGGAGGGATGATAGGTAGCACAGAATAGCGCAAATCATGGAAACATAGATGGACTAATTCCACAAGGGATTTGCTGAACGTTTGGCATAGAGCGAGAATTTCTCTGCAAATCAATCCGTCTCCTCATCTTCACCTCCCATGTCACAAGCCCTTCTGATTCATGTTGACTTGATGAGCTGGAAGAACCTGCTGAGCCTGTGATAGCTGTGGCCAGAGGATTAGCAGCTTCTTTCCCTTTTCAATTCTGTTTTTAGACTGGGATACATCTTTACTGAAGATTAGCAGCCTGGTGGGTTGGGGAAATTAAATTTCACAAGGGCTGCAAACTGGAAAGCACATATTCAGAGGTGTGAAAATTAAATGGGGATGTTTTAATGTAGTGACTTCTTAATGAGTAGATCCTATAACCTCGAGCCTTGGGGCTTTTCTGGAGGTGATGTTACTTCAGAGTAACAGGTGATGTGAATTTGAAGGGGAAATTCCAGAATAATTCCTAATCAGGCACATTTATCACAGAATAAGGGACCCTTTTCTGATTTAATTTAACGCAATTCCAAAATATGTTGGCTAATGTATTCATTAGCTATTTCATAGCTGTTATCTTGGTCTTTTCCCAGGTAAAGAAGCTTGTGACAGGGCTGGCTCATCGTACCCTTTGGTGGGTGTCTCATCAGAGGAAGTGTCTTGGCCGATTCCTGACGATGTGTTGGCCCCCCCTCCTCAGGGCTGTGCCAGCAGCTCTGCCCAATGCCCACTGCTATCGCTGCTCTCCTCCCCTTGGAGCTGAGCTTGCTCTCGCCTCTGCTTTTCCCTCTTGCAAATCTGGGAAGCCAGGGCCGTTGCAACCAGGGCGTATGCTGTGAGCCAGGCTGGCAAACCCCCATGTGCTGCTCCAGCTCTGCTCCCTCTGTACTCCAGCCAGCCGATGCACACGTTCACCTTATGTTAATGAAATGGTGACTTCGGAAAATGTATTTTCAGGAGCCACATCGGCTTTTCCACATTAGTTGCTATTGTGGTACAGGAAGTGTGTGAGAGGAACCCTTTAGCTGCTTGAAACATCCCCTAAAAGAAATCGCAGCTGTATATATGGGCACTGCTCATATATCATGAGCAGCATGAGCTGCCAGTACTTTTTTTTTCCCTCTTACGCACTCAGGTCGTCTTGTGACCTCTCCCTGCTTGATTTATTTGGCAGTTTCTCTCTGTGGGAAGGCAGTGGGATGGGTGTGTTACAGTCTATGAATGTTCTGCTCTACGCCAGCTTATTTGCATTCACTTTTATCTGATTAATATACCCGGTGTGTTTCTAAATGTCTGGAGTCATTTCTGGTTGATGTAGCGCTACCTTGTACTGTGAACATTCTCTGTGTCATCTTCAAATAAAAACTTAGATCTGTCAGGATTGGTTTTCTCCCAAAGGAAGTGAAATTAGTATGAGATTTTATTTGACTTATGTGGATGTATCAGGAATGTTCACCATCTGATACACTTGCATGTAGATGAGAGCAAAATCAGATTTTTTTTTTTTTTAACCACATGTAGACAACTCAGTATGATGAATGAGTTTATTATTCTGTAAGGTGCTTATTATATTAGGCTCTTCTTTGCCTTTGTCTTTAGGGAGAACTCTTTAACCACTTTAGCGACTGATTGAATTTGATTAAAGAGTAGTTTGTCTTTTGAATCCATTATCCTGGATGAAGGTCCACAAGTTTATTCCATTTTCTGATGCAGCCGGAATTGCACCATGTGTGTATTATATGAATGAGGATCAAATGCAAAGTTATTTCGTAAGAACCCATTTGATTTGATGAGTGGCCTTTTCTTATAGAATTCTGCACCCTTCCTGTCAGCTCCTTCTTCCTTTGAAACTTGAAAATTCTTGCTCATACTTTCATGAAAAAAGAAAATTTTCCTAGCTTGGTTGAACTTTCCTGTTGTGGTAGCCACAAATGCTTCCCATTTGTGGGAAGCATTTCTTCTGCCCTGGCTGGAGACCTTCTGCCCGGGAGATGGAGGAGTAGTGGGGAGTACTTTCCTTCTGGCCTCACGTAGCCAGGGGTGAGCCAGCTTTGGGAGGGGAGGCAGGCTGGGTTCCCTGGCAGGACTGCTTTCAAGCCTCGCTTTTCATTGTTCTTCGAAATCATAATGCCCTTTCTTTCTCCTAAACACAGCCAACATGGCTGTTCCCTGGCCAGTGTAGTGTCTCTGCTCTGAAATGATGACCAGATTTACATGGGAAGTGAATGTACAGGCTGATGCTCCCGAAGTTCAATGTGACGGCATCTTCCTGCAAACATGGCAGGGAGATGGGGAGAGAATGGGGAGGAAGATGAGGTGGATAAGTGCAATGTACCTGCAGCATCCAGCTTCTCTGAACTGTTTCCATGAGCTCTGATTTAATCTTCTAAGCTTCTACCTAGGTTTTCACTTTTCTGGAGGAACACAGCATTTCTGAAGTGCCTGACTGACAGAGAAGGATTTAAGGGGAAAAAAAGGTAGAGCCAGCTTCCAGGAAGTTTCACTAATTACAGCTTATTGTAAATTTAATAGATGAACTGTCAGTTTCTCAAAGGTGTGAAGGTGTGTGATCACCACAACCTTTTCTTGGATTCTGTGCTGGCTATAGAAAAAATTAAACTCTAAGTTGCTAAACTAATGTAGTGCATTTCATCACTCAATAAGGTGTCACTTGGTTTATAATATGCAGGCTTCATTATTCCTTTTATCACATCTTTCATAATATTGGACTGTGGTCTAAAAAATATCTTTGGTCTGGGTTTTCTTATATATTTTTATTTACTCAATGATTATTATAGGGGGTGTGGAAGAATTTTATTCTTAGAGTCTGCTTCCAGTGAGTGAAGCTTTTGCCTTTCAATAAACTGGGTCATTTTATTAGTTTTTCCCCACAGATGTCTAATTTGATAGGCACAGTAGGACTGAAATAATACTTTTTATCACTTAAAATTTCTGGGTATTTCATAGCTTCTAAAATAAATTCTGTAACTCGAGAAGCTAAACATTTGTAGGTAGTTCATTTGCCTGATGTAAGATTTTTGAAGAAGAAATATGCATATAGCACTTTCCTTAAAGTTTTTGGAAATCTTCCTGATTTTTCTGGAATGGTGGTAGCTTTTCCTCCTGTTCTTGTGACTCTGTATCACGCAATCCTCATATCATCATACTTCCTTTGCATTGTCAAAACCCTTCATAAAATCTCTGATTATTTTATTTTTTTTTTTTTTAAATTTAAATATCTGAAGTCACGCTTAGATTTTATATTGGCTGCATTTCTGTTGTCTGACTTAGCTGGAGGAGAGCACATCTGGGGAGCTGTGCTTATACCTCTGCCTGTCAGCTGGCCATTCAAAAAGCTGTTTTGACCCTGAAAGCTGATGTCCGTATGGTGTGTGTTGGCCAGTGCTGGCTGCAGTCACCTCTCCTCCTTTCTTACCCTGTTCATTCCCATGCAAGAACAGTCTCAAGGGTACCAGCCACCTGGCCCTCCTCTGGTTTGATCCTTTTGGTGAAACTTTCGGTGGTAGGAAATGGCAGAAAATCATATGTTTATTTGAAAGTGGTGATGCAAAAAGAGGCAACCGCTGAAGTTGAGCAATTTCTAAGAAAGTAAACAAAAACATCAGCACAGAGGTCAGAAGTTAAGGAAAGGGCAGAGGCAAGTAAAGGTCTTTGGTAAATTTAATTCACACTTTGTGCTAAACGTAAATGATAGCTTAGGAAAAAAAACTGCTTGGAATACATAGTAAATCATGTTGCCAGGATACTTCCTGATCATGTTAATTAAACTGTCCCACAGATTTGGCTTAATTACTGCATAATTTGCATACTGGAAATGATGGTACACATTACTAAAGAAACCTCTTATTCTGTTAGCAGAAAGAACATTGTACATGAATTAATTTCCAGGGGAAGGAGTCTCTAGACTCATATAATGATGTATCTTGAAAATAAAGTTGGGATTTTTGATAATGAACTGACATATATCTCATTCCTTTTTGCAAGACTACACTTTATGGTTGTTCCACTGGGGTCCTTAGAGACCTCATCCCAACAGCTTTCCTCTTGTTGCCTATTTCTTTAATTACAAGAACCACTGTTGCTATCAAGGTTGCTGGTGGCAAAGCAGATACTAGTTAACTTGTGTAATGTGGCAGAATACTTGTCTTGAGGCCCACGTTTGATACTGCATGTGTGTTGTTGATGAACTTCACCACCCTCCCAAGTTAAATTCACTATTAAGCTATTAATTTCTCCTTGTCTTGCTTTTCATTGTTGCTTTTTTGTTTTGTTTGTTTGGTTTTTTTTAATTTCTGACATGTCTCTGGCATTCTACTTGTGGAGGCCTGAGGCCAAATGAAAAAATGCAGAAATATCTCTTTGCTCTTCCAGTTTGAGGGCAGATGTTGCTGGTGGACACCCTGCTTGGAGGCCTCGGGCCATCCCAGCTGCCTGGCGGGGCAGTGGGAGTAGCTGTGTGCCTTTGTAATGCTGAAAAAAAAGGATTTTGCATCTACATTTCTGTCAGAGTAATTTTATAGCTTCTGTCCCTGCTGTTGCTTTGAGTTCAGTGACATTCCTGCAGACGTGCTTAATTTCAGGACTGTGATAATGCTTTGGAATAAGAAGACAAAACATCAAAATTCCTGCATGAAGTAAGACAAGATAGAAGCTGTTTTGTTTGGGGAAAATTTCTTCTGAATACAGCAATTTCCTAATTTAGACTGCTAATTGCTTTGGATGATATCATTGCTAGGATATGCATTTCCGATGTGGCTTCTACTTTTTAATTATTTTTTGATCTGTTTTTAAACAGGTGATCATAAACAGCACAATCACACCTAACATGACCTTCACTAAAACATCGCAGAAGTTTGGCCAGTGGGCAGACAGCAGAGCAAATACTGTGTTTGGTTTGGGCTTCCCCTCCGAGCAGCAGCTGACGAAGGTAACGGGGCTCACTGAATTTCTACAAAGACTGCCTTGTTTCTTGTTGATGAAGAATTGCATATATCCATTTGACCTCTTCTGAGCTTCATGCTTCTGCAAGTCCTCTTCATCTGTGCAAGTTGCCCATCTCCTATAATTACCCAATGTCTGTATATAGAGAAGCAGGCAGTATTGCAAACTTTGTAGTCAAAACTCTAAATCAAATCTGACCACTGACAATGATATTAGTGAGCTGATCTCGATGGTATCTTGCCCAGTGTGGCTGAAAGCACCTTTGTTTTCAGATGTTTACAGAAACAACCTGAACTCTAGTATTTTTTGGCATCTCTATGGCCTATGCGCTCACCCCAGTTGAAAGTGACACTAGAAGCAAAGGGAACCACTGCTATGCCAGGACTGCTGGCATTAGGGCTGCCTAATGTGTCTGAAGGAAGAGAGTTGCTGTCCTAGCCTCAGAAATGTGTGTTTTGATGACTTCCTGCAGTTGGGAACTAACTGAGGTAAAGGAGTTGCCAGCCCCGGGAGCTTCCTGGTGCCCTCATTTTGCAGATACTGCTGGTGGTGGGGCCGTGCTCTCAGGAGGCTTGGTAAACTGGTCTGGGTTAAAATAATACTGCATTTCTGGCATTTCAGCTCAGCGGTGTGATTTGCAGCCCTGACCCATAGCTGCTTAATCACAGTCCTGAGGAGGTGGCAGTGAGTCGTGGCAGTGACAAGGGGATGAGTAGCTGGGGAGGTCTGACGCCAGGTTTGCTGGCAGAGCTGCCTCTCTCAAAGGGCAAACGTGGCCCTGGGTTTGGTATTAACGCAACACTTCCCTGGACCAGGGACTGGCTACAACAACAGGCTTGTAAAGTCTAGAGCTGCCTCTTGTCATGAAAAAACAGCAGTTTAAAATGCATTTTCTGTCATTAGATTAGTGGTCTTGCCAAGTGCTCATCAGGGAGCTGGGGTGTTTGTTCATGTAGTAAAAAAACCCCTACTTATCTAACATGTAGTTGACACCTGAAGCATGGCTACTTGGCACTGGGTTTTGTCAGTTAAGTCAACATTGTGTCCTTTGGCATGGCACGCAGTCTCTCCTGTTGCTGTCCTATTGTATGCTTTGATAAGAAAAGGATCAGAAGATCAAGACGTTTATTGTAGTATCTAAAATAGCAGAGGCAGACCATTGCAGCAGAAGGAAGACTCGTCCATCAGCTGAATTGTTACAGGAATTTATTTTACTAAGTTTGTTTTACTGAGTTTTTACAGTTTCCAAAGAATCGCATTTTTTGTAAGTATTTCTTAGAGGTAAAGCATATTTTACTTTCCATGTTAAGTTATTTTTGGATTGGAGGTGTCTATCAAGGTACCATGGCAATAATGTGCTCTTCTGGGATGCTAAAGCAACCCAATCAATCACATGCAAGACTGTTTTTTAAAAATAAGGTGCTGGTGATGGTTATATTTCCTGATGTTTACTCAAGTGTAAAGGACTGCTCATTTCCCCTACGTATATTCTCCACTCCTGTGGCAAAGAGGTGTTCATAGCAGGTAATAAGTAGTATGGGAATATGGGAGGATTAAGGTGGACCTAGGGGAATAGTTTGTTTTGAGTAAAAGATAAGCATGGTACAATGCAACCTTTGGACACCAAATTAAAGAATTAACACCACTGGATAGTAATTTTTAATCCTGGATTACTGAAGCCACACCTCTGCAACATGCCACGTGACCACAGGGTACCTCAGTGCTGGCTGGGGGTTAACAGACACCACGTGGAGCCAGTGGTGCTGAGGCTGGCTCAGGAGATGGGAGGTATGACAAGGCACAAGGTACATTTGGAGGTCCTTGCACGCTAATCAGAGAGATTTTACCATATTCTCCAAAACTGTCCAAATAAGTACTTAGAATAAATTTAATGTTGGTATCAGAAAGCAGGTCTTTAATGCTCATGTGGCCAGACTAAAGCCAATCTGAAAAACATGTCATGTGGGCACAGGGGTCTCAGCACTGGCTGTGTTTCTCCAGATCAGTTTTCACACCTGTTTGCACTGCATGATCTGCCAAAGAGTCCACTGATGACAATACAGCCTTCTACTTGCAGGAAAAGCTTTCCAAATCAGCAGAAAGACTTTTTCTGGTTAGAATATCAAAGTGGAGCTTAAGGGGAGCACTTCTGAAAATGGCTTGAGACGATCTATTAAAAAAAAAAAATCTGACAGTTCTCTAGCTGGAAAATGTAGGAAAACCTGGTTTATCGTTCATGCTCCTCATTTTAATTATTGAACCATTAGTAAGAAAGACCAGCAATAGTAGAGAGATTGCAGATGTATAAGTGTATTTGGAACAGTAAAATCAAGTTTCATTTTATGTTGATATTTTTATACTCTTACAAAAGATATAAAGTAAAGCTTGCCAGTTTTACTGGAAATAATTGAAGCTTTTAGTCAGGAATTGGAAGGACACACTAAAACTCCACTAAACCAGAGATCAATAGCCCTTTAAATAAATAAATAAATAATGCTGGAAAATGTCTGCTGAAAACAATGAAAAATAATGAGACAGGAGGTTAGCACACCTAAAAAGTCTGCATTTTTAAGTATAGTGGTTGGCCTAATAAGAGATATTGCCTCTTTCTAATGCCTCACTTCTCCTGAGATATTTAAGCATTAATCCATACCTATAGGGAAAAGCAGTTCAAATTAAACACGAGTCATTAATGAAAACTGCATTCAGTGACCTAGTGACCTAATTACCATTCACATTGATTGGGAGAATCCCAGGGCTTAAAGTTGATGTCCTACTCAGGGTCCTCTTCCCATCTTGCAAGAGCCACTGACCCTCCCACCCTGTGCCTCAAAGAGGTCTCAAGACATTATTCAAACATTGCTACAGTCAAATTGGAATGGGAATCAAAAGAGAATTCATGGTGTACCTGGGTGGGATGAAGAGGCAGGGCTGATGCTGTAAAGGTAGTGTTGTATTTTGCACATGAAGCTGTTAAATAAGATTTCTGTTATTGTTCAGAATGCATCAAAGCAGACATGCTGTGAGGAGCTGCAGGTAGTCAAGGACATAGGCACAAAGATTTATACAGGTGAGAAACCCAGTAAATCCAGACTTTGCACATTGTAAAGCAACTGTATCCAGCATCTGGAAAGCACTGGACTTTCTTTTTATGCATGTGTGCACATTAGGTGTGCAGTATTTGCCAGATGCTGTATTGCAGGGGAGAAAGCTCGGAGTAGGGCCTGCCCCAGCCCCCAGTACACAGCGCGGCCCCCCCGGTCCAGCTGGCATCGGTGCTGGCAGCACACTGGCTGTGCTAGAGCAAATTACTGGCCTCTTTCTGGAGTAAATAGCCTTGTTTGCTGCTGATCTGCCCGGTACCGAGGGCGGCTCAAGAGAAAACCATGGGTAAAATGACGTGTGTGTTGTGGGTCACGGCACGGCAGTGGTTCCCAACAGGAACATCACATCACCCAGCTTTCTGCAAACTGAGGGTGATGAAATATTTATGAGACTGTTTTGGGTGGGAGCAGCTGTTTCATCTGACACAGGCACAATTTGTCAGTAGGAGACATAAAATATATTGCCAGATCAGGAGCTTAAAATTTACACATATACAAAATAATGCTTTTTAATGTATAAAATGTTAAGAAGGTCTATTTAAATATATATATATTTCTCTAGGTGACAAGCTGGCTGCAGATTTGAACAACCTTTAAATAATTTGTGCAAGGCACAGTAGCATCCTTGTGTCCCTATTAAATTTCACTGGCCAAGACTCATAATCAAACAGTGCTCGTGGGCTGTAGCAGCCTTAGACTAAAAGGCTTCACAAGTGTTGGTAGCAGCAAATCTTTTTCACATTGCAGCTTGGTCTCACAGCTTCCTGGGGCGTGGGAAGACATGTCATATAACCCATGATGGACTATTGGAGTGGGGTTTAGTTGGCATTTCTCCTACTTCAGTCTTTTTTTTTTGCTAATTTTAGGGAACTTTGTCTGCTGAGAACAAGGGTGGAGGAAAGGGAAGATGAAGAGAGTAAAGATGGAAGGAGAAGGAGCATGGTGATTTTTTAGTTGGTTTCGAATATACATGTATTGCCCCTTGAGACCACATTTACCAAGTTTTCATTTATTAAACAGAAGATTATTTCACTTTTTAATGAGAAATTTCACATTTAAAAAAGCATTCCCAATTGTTGCAATGGTTTCATAGCTCAAAGTCAACCTAGATCTTGGAGGTGGCACATGATTTTGTAGTATCAATTATTTGTCAATTATTTATGTTTGCAACTGAAGAAATCAGGTACTGGAGAGAAAGCATCTCTGTAGTTTCTGCCAGTGATTAGACACTGTGGCCATGCCGTCAGTCTCAGAGACGGCCTCGGGATCTGGGTAGCTTCAGGAATGCCTGGTCTGCTGCTGTAGCAATTAGCATTGGTAATGCTACACAGGTTTGGGCTGTCACCACCGTGTTGTTGCACTCAGAAGAGTAATCAAGTGAAAGGCTTTAATTTCATAACAAGCCAAGTGATCCTCTGTAGCTTTCAGAAATAGACTGTTAGTAAAATCTAGCAGGTATTAATTAGCTAAGAATGAAGAAGTGGCAGCAAAACTCTTTATTGACTGACTGTTTCCAAGTGTATGGGATAAACAAAAAACAGAGACAGTCTTTCACCACCGTTTCTGTTACAGCCATCTTTACATTTGTAACAACGATAAGAATGAAAGATAATATTTTGACTCTTAAAGCAGAAGATCTGTCACTCAGATGGTGAAAAAATTCAGTTATTTGTACTTGTTTCTAAAAGCAAATGTGTTAAATACATGTGTTGGTAAACTAGAAACATGACTGAAATCTATTGTGCAATGAGGTCATTATTGGTTTTATATTGAAGATTGGCTTCGCTCAGTCATACATGATTTTTTATTATGGAAATGTGGAAAAATGTCCTTTTCTTCTCAGCTCACATAATTTTTCACAGCAGTCTCCTGTGTGCTTTATGAAGATAGCTGGAAAAATAAAATTTGATAGATCACTTCCAATTCTTTTTGTCTTTTCATATTTCATATAGTCCATGAAGAACCCTCATAAATTTTTCATACTTGCCCATAAAGATTTATTGTAAAAGAGAGGCTCAAAACAGCCCTTTACTATTTGCAAGAAACCCAAGTGTAGAACTTGCTGTTGATACAATATTTAGAAATAATCCATTCGTTGTAGCTCTTTTGTCACAGCAGGAGATAGATTTTGTGTAAAGTTGGAGTTAAATCACTTAAGGCAAAAATGTAATGTAGTTGTTCCTAATGATCTTTATAGTGCTACAAAGGTAATCAAGTCATTTGTGTGTGTAGTGACTGCACATGCCATCAGATAGTAACTACTGCCATCCAAGAGCACATACTTTGCATATGCAATTTCAGCTGTTGTATAGAAAACAGCTGGATTTGAGAGCTCGATCTTCATTCATAAGCATCATCACAGATCATAGCCTACATCAACATTTCACTTGGCTTTGAGAATATACTCATCCATGAGATTTAAGAATGAGGTATGTATGTTTGTTGGAAATTTCCATTTGTGTGTGTTACACAAAACACAGGTGCTTCCACACATAAATCCAGATTTCTCTTAGACCAGTTGGAGAAGATTTGTTTTATCAGTCTTTATAGTCCCAGTATTTTACTGAGAGCAGGCATGCTAAATACCTGCTGTGAATATAAAAGTTAGAAGATAAGATTAGTAAGTGGATAATGATTCTTCCCATTCCCTGACTATAAAATGTGATGGTTTTTTCATGCTTTTACTTACAATTTTGTCATAAGTGTTCTGAATTTTCTGAGGGTATAATGGCAATCCTTTCATTCACAAACTGTGCAATAAAATACATCTGTGTATATTTTTACTTTAAATATGCCTTTCTTTTCTAGGATTTCAAGTTTCTCAAAACACAGGCAGGACCAAGCTGCTTTAACAGAAAGACAAAGTTAGCCATTCTTATACTAGATACATCTTAATTAAAAAAAAAAATATATATATATGTATTATGCCTTTTCTTCCATCTTTGTAATCCTCCTTTTAAAACTTCCAACACTGTGATAATACTTGTATTTCAAAAATGCCAGATTTTTCAAAAGCTTTTCAAAAATGCTTCAGAGCACATGTCCTACAGTAACTTGTAGAGATTGGGTTCGTTACTTTTCATCTTTATCTTTACTTTCCTCTGCCTCCCCCAGTTTGGTATAACCCTCTTACAGGAAGCATTCAAGCCTTTCCCTGAAGTCTTCTACCTTTATTTTTGCCAGTAATAAGAAAACTAGACCAGAAAAGCTGTTTTCTCATATGGCCCCATCGTACATTCAGTCTACCTTCTTCTCATTTTTTCTGTATTGATAATCCCTTGCTTGCATCCTGCAGATGAACTCATTTGCATGCTTTAATTTAATTGACTTGCTCTTAGGAGTAGAAGACATTGATAGTTTTTTTATCCAAACATATGTCTTTTATACTTTCAACTTTAATAGACTGTCAACACCAAGCGAAACAGAGGAGGAGGAGGGGAATAAACAAAACCAAATCAAACCAGGAGACACTAATAGCTTTGTTTTCTCCATGGGCTCTTACTGTGATCGGCCAGAGCTACAGAGATGTCCCTCTTTTAGAAACGCCCTCATTCCCTTTGAAAGAACCTCCTTGCCAAAGAATTAAAATGTTTTTTCTTGCCAAAATTTTTAAATGATCATAATTAATTGTTCACTTTTGGAGCTCTATGAACCATATGAAGACAGTAATCTGAACAGTTTAATATATGATAAATCATTTCAGTAAATGTCTTTCATGCTTTTTGCAGTTTGCAGAGAAATTCCAAGAAGTAAAAGAAGCTGCCAAACTAGCAAGAGACAGATCTCAAGAGAAAATTGAGACCTCGAGCAATCATTCCCAGGTTTGTAATTTAGCTTTAATACCTGTACGCATACAGGATAAATAATTTAAAGTTAAATTTTCTAATGGACTGTACCAGCTTCTGGTAGCAAACTTTAAGTATATAAAATGAAGATTGCTGAAGGTAATTGTTAGCTGCTGGACATTAGCATTGTCAGAGGAGTATTTTTCATCCATTCATGCTCTTTGCCTTCATTTAAATCTAATTTTTTTCAGCAGTTCTTGAGCTGTTACATAATAACAGGGAAAGCTATGCATCCTTTGACTCGTACAGTTACGCATAGTTTGGGTCACTAAAAAGTAGGTCAGTGTAGCGCTTCAGCAGACAGTAAATGAGATTCACCGAGATACTTCTTTTTGTCATCTGTCTAATCTACCTTTGTAGAGTTCAGTTTGCCAATGGAGACACTGACTTTGTGGCCGTGGTGTTTCCCTGCCTGGGTGTGACTGATGGAAAGATGGGGTGTGGGAGCAGAGGCAGGGCTGGAGTGAGTGACTGGAAGAAGCTTGTGTGGCATATTTGTACAACAGACTTTTCTAGGCAGCACACCTTGATATAGCCAAGTACCTCTGTGTGTGGGGAGATCTGGATTTCTTACAAAATGAAGAAATTGAGTGTTGTTCCAGTCTCTCTATATGTTTGACTGTAATTTCATATGCATTGCATTAGGTAATGAACCCTGTTCAGCAGATGTTCTTGGCCTGGGCTAATGTTTGGAGGAAAGTCAGATGAATTTTGATCAGAGAGGAATTCAGATGCATGAACAGAAAAAAGCTTCTGAATGCTCTTAGTCTTGTAACTAACCCCTTTTGTGGGATCCACAAATAATGATCTGAGAGGCTGACTTCGGATGCTAATTTTTGTAAAGACTTTGATTGTGGCCTCTGTGGTTCACTTTCTTTGTTCTCTGTTGGTGATCAGCACCAAGCAGTGTATGAATGGTATCTCTCTGGAGGAGCAGTATCTTCTTTTTTTAAATTTTGGTTTGGACTTTGTGTGTTTCCAGGTGCACTGTATTGTTTCATTGACTTAAACACGAGTAACCTTTAGAAAACACAAGCCGTGTCAGTTAAAATGCTTAACAAAATTTATTTGAACACTCTGAACTTCAGTTTCATGTATCATTATAATTTTTTCATTCTTTTTTAAACAGACCACCTTTGTAGCCAAGATGTAAAGACTATGTGTTTGTTACCACTGTTCTGCCAGGAGAGCCTAGGTCTCAGCAGGGTGGTGTGGGATCAAGATTACAAAGAAATCAGTGTTGTGGTGCTGCAGGAGATGCAGGAGACATGCAGTGATCATTTGTGTGTTGTGCTGCAGGAATCTGGACGTGAAACACCATCTTCCACTCGAGCATCTAGTGTGAACGGGACAGACGATGAGAAGGCATCACATGGTGGTCCTGCTGAGGCACACCTTAAGTCTGAGAATGATAAATTAAAAATTGCTCTAGCCCAAAGGTGAAGTTCCTTTAATACCTAAATTGCATTGGAACAGCATTCTGTAATTCTTTGATGGCTAATGATATTAACAGAAATTATTCAAATGTAATTGCATTAGTTTAAAATAATGCAACAGAATGGATGAATGAGCAGATTTTAGCAAGTACCTCCCGGTATCCAGTTGAGAGATATTTATGATTTAGTTTTTTCCTGATCTAGTTCATGATGAAATAAGATCTCTTTTATTCTGCTGATGCCAACTCTTATAACCACCTCTGTTTGTGAAGTTTTAGAGCTACAGAAATAACATTAAAGCTATGGGAGAGCAATTGCTACTGATAATGTGTGAAGCCAATCTCTCTTCTTCTTTGAGTGTACTACAATTACTTTGATGAAAATAGATGCGGATATTTAAAATTATGAAAGGGAACAAACTCAACCATAGAAAGTTGAAGTGAGAAATTTCACTGGGCTGTTTATAAGTTTTAGGGGGGATGTTTCTAAAGCTGTGGACAATGATCCTTGAAGTCACATTTTTTGCTATTTGCTTTGATAAATTATATGAAAATGCTGAGAAGAGTAATTTGCAGCTGTAGTGAAAACACAGGCATTAGAATATGCAAAGTTGTGACACTAAAATAAAATAATTCTCTACTGGGGTCTTGGCTTGTCTGCCTCTTGCATGTGAATATAACTGTGAATGGAAAGAACATATAACAGGATTAAGCTACTCTTAAAAAGCTATCTAAAAAATAAGGCAGCAGCGCCATAAGCAGAGTTACCCAGTGAGCAATTCTAAGGTTGCATATATTATATTTGAAGTACATCCTCTCTATTGACATTTTAATAGTGTAACCTATTTCAAATCATAATGTTTGCTCATTCCTCCTGCTGAAGACACCTCCACAGGCAAGTAGCAACTAGCATGTAGGGAGTTTCAAAGCCTTCCTTCCATTCACTCTCTAATCTTGTGCCCTACGCTGCAGCTTGAAGCTTTGGGGAATGAGTAGTTTAATTCTTCAGCATTATGTAACACTCTTATATTTAAGGCTGAGCATTAAAAAAAAATCAAATATAGATAGTGTCAACCCCCTGACATCTTCTGTTCTGAATTGTTGTCCCATCTGTAAATGTGAAGTGTTGCTTTGTGGCGCGGGTACCACATCGTCAGGCCTGCACTGCAGCGGGTGCCCAGCGAGGCGCAGCTGTGCAGCTCTGGACAAGAGCACAGACCATGCACAGTACCGGAGTAAAACCCTGTTTGCAAACAGTGGAGATCCCAGCTGCCAGCTTAACCCCACAGCCTGCCTTGACTTCTGTTCCAGGCACACAGGTCACTGTTGCTGGAGTTGATATATCCCTTTGTTTTGGCAGAGACAGTCAAATTAAGGCTTATGTTCTCATCAGGCAGGAAATGGCTAAAGGCAATTACATACGTCTGAGTATTCCTGATTTTATAACAACATATTATTGGTAAACACACCCCATGGGTGGATAAGTTTGCAGTCAGGTAAAGAATAATGATATGCAGAATTATAAAATGAAGCCACCTAATGGAACCTGTTTTTTCTCAGTTCATCCAATGTGAAGAAGTGGGAGACGGAGCTGCAGACGCTGCGGGAGAGCAACGCCCGGCTGACCACAGCGCTGCAGGAGTCCGCAGCCAGCATCGAGCACTGGAAGAAGCAGTTCTCAGCCTGCAAGGAGGAAAATGACCAGCTCAGGAGCAAGGTAGCAGAGCATCCCCACAGGAGAGCAGTCTCTTCCACCTAGCCACTCCTGCCATTGCTCTTTCTCTTAGATTTCTGCTGCTTTACCTTTGTGTGTGTTAAGAGATGCATTTTGTCTTTGAAAGGGAGCTGGACAGGGTTGTTAAGGCAGCTGCTTCCCTCTGCACACAGCAGGCAGGGAAGTTCAAAGGGCTGGGGATCAGCAGGAGGACTGGTCCTGCCGCATCATGTGAAGCTCCCTGCCTCTTGATTTGGGAGACTTGGTGTCAGCAGGGGTTGCTGGCTGGGGGTGATAAAACAGAAAGGTTTTAAAAGTGGGATTACTATTGCATATCTCTTTCAAAGCTCACTTAAATATTGCCAGATGATGAATGAGCAAAAGGTGTGGTTATGGCCTGGTTACCCACAGGAAACCAAGCTATGAACCACTCAGTATTAGAAGCAAATCCCAATGGCGGTCAGGGGAATGAAGATGTGAGTTATGTCCTCAGGCTGTGAGACAGGTCCTCCAGCACTAACACTGGGCACATCTTGTCTGGAACCTGCCAACAGGCATCGTCAAAAGCCTTTTCCTCTCTGCTACTGAGCATAATGTTTCTCAGTAGCGTAAGACCAAGGGTGAGCTGCAACTACAACAGAGAACTACTCAGAAGTTTAAATTTTTAAAGCCTCAATTTAGAGTAGTCATTGTTACTGTCCCTCAAATAATACTGTGCTATCTGTAACAGCCCCACTCGGGGTTGGCACCAACCTGGGCACAGAGGAGCCTGGTTTCCATGAGCACTGCTTGCATGGAAAAATTTCACTCTATTCATCTTAAATGTCTTTGGAAAAGCTGGATCCTTTTCCTGCTTGTTTAGATGGATCATTGGGATGTTTGGAGCAGAGATCAGATTTTATCAGTCTGGTGAGGATTTTTTTTGTTGTTGTTTAGTGTTTGCTCTCAAAGGGAAGGATTTTCATATCTTTTTATATGTCAGTAGGCTGCAAATAGTATTTCAGCATTGGAGGTGGCCTGGGTTGTCTGTCAGCACTGCAAATCCATGTGGAGCAACCTTTTCCTGAGGCAGATACTCTATCTATTCGCATGTATTTTAGGTGTGCAGAGTGAAAATTCGGAAATCAAACCAGGGCTGTATCAACTGATGTAACATTAACAAATTAATATTAGATTTGGGTTCCTATATCCAGTCTCCTTTGGATAGGGACATAGAAGTGAGAAACTGGAACAGTATGTTATAAGAAAATATCATAATTTACAGTGTAGTTTTTTACTTTTCTGTAGTGTTGCAGAGAAAAGTTGTTCTCATTAACATTAACTGATGAAACATGCCACATTTCAGTAGCTGTAGCCTAGATATGAAGAGATTATCAAAACACTGCCTTAATAAAGCTGCAAAGTCATCATACCAGTGACTAGCCAGACGGTGCAGCAATGCTGTCTGTATAATGTTCTGCCATTTTCTATACAGACAGGTTTTCTGCGCTTTTTCCCCAAGTAGGTTCCTTGCTTGGCGTTCACACTGCATCACTGCAGCGCCCTGGGAAGTTCCTTCTCCTTTATTAATTAGGTCAAATTTTTTTGCATATTGCTTTACCTTCAAATGAGGGAAGTTATAATCCCAAAGCAACACAAAGCTGAGAATTAAAGTACATACTTTAATGAGCTGGCCCACTGGCCTGTGGGAAGTGCATCTCCTGGGAGCCACGTCCGGAGCTGGCAGGAGGAGGTATGGAGGGAGTAAAGCATGTCCCTGGGTGAGAGAAGAGAGTAGCACACGTTGCTCTGAACTGGTTCTCCCCACAAAGTTTTGATGTGTCTCTTGTACTCCAGCTAGAATAACAGCAGCCCCTGAGGACACAAAGCTGGGAATGCTGGAGAGATTTCTTCTCTTTGCTGCATTAAGAAAACCCATCCCTTATAGTCCTGTGTTAGTTTCAGAGAAGTGAAGTTCAGATTTTATCCCCAGCTCTGCTTATTTTAGCAGCTCAATGTTTTGTGGATTTCTGAGTACTTACATGAGATACTGTGCAAAAGAGAATAAACACAGTCTGAGGGCTTCCCAGTGGATGTGTAAATTGGCTCTTTTTAAGGAAAGCAGCAATAATTTGGTTGCAGCGAATCAAGTGGTATGATCTAGGAAACAGATTCATGACAAATTAGAGTTGTCTGTGCTTCCCTCTGCTCAGTGGAGTAATGCCCATTTACATCAGCTGTGTTCTGCCACAGATTTTCAGAAATTTGAAAAATTTCACCTAATGTCTGACATTTCTTAAAGATTGAAGAACTGGAGGAACAATGCAATGAAATAAATAAAGAGAAGGAAAGAAATGCACAGCTGAGTAGACGTCTCCAGGAACTGGAAACAGAACTTCAGGACAAAGAGCTGGTAAGTGTCCTGAACACAGAAATAGCATGCTTTAGAGTTTGAGCGGGTCGGTCTGCTTCTCACTTGGGGTATAGAATTATGGACTGACTCACTTACAACCAGGAGCAGCCTGATGTCTCAGGGTGTTTCCTGTTTCTAGATTTTCCACAGACAGCTCCATAGCAACAGTTTGATAAGAGTTACTCAGTCTCTAGTTTCATGATGTGTTATGCGCTGTGACAGCACACTTTAATTTGGCAGTGGTTAACAAACATGATACTTCCATGTATACAACACTTTCCTCCTAATAGAAGAGCTGGAGTAATGAAACTTGTTGCCCAAAGCCAGACAGATATATGCTAAGAATATTTTTGTTTGCCAGTCCCCATGCCCTGAATTCCCGTAGACATCAGGATCATCATTCAAAATACATGATTTACAAAATAACTTGGCTTTTGGGTAACAAGTCTTGTTTCTTTTTCCAGATGGCTCATAGTCTTCAGCTTTGCTGTTTTATGGTCTCCCTCTTATCTCAGGACTAATGCCAAGAGTAAGAAATTCAGATTCATTTAGAGTACCCCAGTTTGTCATTTTTGACATACAGGGTGTTCATTTTTCTAAGGAGAATGATGTTGATGGCTTGGAGCCCCTGAACAGTGGGGAAAGTAATGGGATCTATGTTTTTTTCGTTCATTAGAGTGACCAAATGCTCTGTGCTGGCTGAAGAGAAAAAGCTGTCAGCAGGTTCAGTAAAGTTTGCTATGTGCCATTACAGCATCTCTGCTGGTGCTCTTAAAAGCAGTGCTGTTAGGGGGTTTTAAGATGGCACAAGGAGATAGTTTAGGGAGATGGATTTTGATGCACTGTTATAAATATAATATGTTTTTCAGCTCCATATTTCAAAGGAAAATGTCATGCTTTCTTCCCAACCTTTTTGTGGTAATAGCATGTATAATAATCCTTATCCTCTGCTAGCGTTTTCCTCAAGATTCATGTTTTTATGGTACCGAATGAGCCAGAAAATTGATTGACTTGCGAATTTACATGCCTATCTTGCACTTACACTGACAATATATTAACTTGTTTTCAAACTGCATGCTTACATTAGCAGGTTCTTGATTAGGTCTAAACTACCCATAAGCAATCTTTTCATGGTCTGCAATTCAAACCAGCATGAAGCCTGCCCATGGATGTTACTGTGTAAGAGGAGCTGCTACTGTCCTGTTCATGTAGGAAATTAGGAGAGAGGAATGTAAAGGCATGGTAATCAGGACAGAACAATCTAGTGAAATATTTCTATTTTTATATATATATATCATATGCCATATAGCATATATACATAGTGTATATACCATATATACATAGTGTATATACCATATATACACGTATATATGGTATATGGCATATGATATATATATTAAAATACATATAGCATATATAGTGTGTATATCTATACACAATGTATTATACTATATATAGTAAGCATACAGTATAGTAGTTATATATATGGTAAGTATATATAGTATAATATATTTCTATTTTGATATGTGAGCTCCCAGACATTACTTATGTATATCTACATATATATTCATGGGAGGTCATATCTCATAACAAAGAATAAGTTATCCTTTCTTTCCCCTATATCAGCAGCTGGAATATTGCCTGGATATAGTTACTCTTACATTTGTTAAATTCTTCAGTGCAGTTCACAAAAAATCTGTAATATTATATGATTTGTCTTCTTATATTAATGCAAACTAATGCTGTAAAAAGGGATGAAACAGTAAAAGAGAATTATTAGAGTTGTCCTGGAATTACAAACTTTCTCAAAAAAAAAAAAATTATTGATGTAACAGTGTTTTTGGCAAACCTTGGAAGAAAGCAACATTCTCTCCAGGATACACTGGATTCTTTTTAAATTTGGGTGAGTTAGGAAGTGCTGAGTATTGATATACATAGAACAAGGGAATTGGGCAGTCTTGAGGAAAGACGTTATTGTCCTATGGAAGAGCTTGACTTATGGATTCTGTTACACTTGTATTATGCTGTGAGTTCACCTGTTAGGGAAGAAATCACCTTTTGCAGCCAAGAAATCTGCCTTTCGGATATGACTGGCTTTGCTGTCCTGTGTGAGTACAGCTCAGAGAGGGTATACCCCAGCTTATTCTTGAGACTGTCACCTACATGGGCAGATTCTGGAGGAGGATCTTGCACTCTCTTCAAGTCACAGAATTTCTCTTGGACTTGTAAATGTGCTTTTCAGATGCTCTGACAATCCTTCTGCAAAATGTACAGGCTTTGTTTGAGTCTTTCTCTACCACCCACATCAGTGGTGTTCATTTGTGGTATTAATGTATTCAAGTTATCTTAATTTCCATCAGAGACATGGACTCCTATCAAGTCACGTTGTTCCTTTTATGAACTCCTTTCAGCTAGTCCTCTCAATTTGGACAGTGATGCCAGAACCGAATACAAATTTGGGGGGGAGGGAGGTTCTCAGAACTGTACAGTGGAGGAGAGCCCATTACAGCTGTGCTCTGTAATGATGCCTCTATATATGCAGCTCATAATACCATTGGCCTTTTTTTGCTGCCATATATCACTGAAAATTCACATCTAATTTGCTCTTTGCTACCATCTATAAATTGCTTGTAGCATTACAGCCCTTCAGATTTCTCTCTTTAATATATCTTTTGCATAGGTATGTGTTTTAGGTTATTTCATTCATATGATTAATGGCATTCATGCTAGAGATTGGATTACATTGTCTGTTTTAGAAATAAAATGTAAAAAAATGTAGTGAAAAAATGTATTCTGGTAGGAAATTAGCATGTGTTTTGGAATGCAGACATACTATTTTGATTATTTTGCATCCAAATACTGTGAAGAATACAATAAAATATGAAAAGCAATTTCATATTCTCAAATTTTCATTATGTTTAAAATTGAAGCTTGCGCTAATATTTTCTTTTTTTTTTTTAATGTTTTCAAAGGAACTGGAAGAGCTCCGAAAGCAGGGTGAAATTATACCACAGCTAATGTCAGAATGTGACTCTGTATCTCAACAATTACAGGTACAGTTTAGCAATTAAATTAATTTTAAAATAGTTGATACATTTACTTTCTCATAACCATATGCTTCCCTCTGTTCAGACTTCAGTGTTTGAAGGTAAAAGAACTCCAGTTTGTAAAAGCAAAAAAAGCTAATGACATGCAAAATACACTGTGCCCTTCCCAGAACAGTAGTAATTAAATAGCTTCATTTCTTTGCCTTGCTGTTTTCAGAAATTGGTTTTGCCTGGGATTGTGCCGCATCTAGCTCCTGCAGATTCCAGGCCATCCTGTATCCCACATTTCTGCTGCTCTGGGCTCGTGGAGCCGCACTGCAGCCATGTATACTGCACTCCAAGACACCAGGGAAGGCTTTTTGGGAAGAAACAGATGAGCGTAGCTACACACCACTGGGGGAAAAAGTTCACTCAAGGATGCATTTATATGCTACATCATTCCTTTGCAGCAACTCATGTCTCGGTTTGGCACGTGTGGCTCCTCTGCTGTGAGGTGCTCACTTGGTGTGGAGCTCATGGGGCTGCTGGAGCCTGGGCCCAGCCAGCAGCTGGGCTTTGGGCATCGCTTGTTGACATCTGGGCTTGTGTAAATGCAATAAATTAATACACGAGAGGAGAACAAATATAAGCAAGCTCATCAATTAAATAAAATCAAATCAATCAAATAAACCATCACTTCGATAATCTAAACAATCTAAAATCATTTAGAAGGCTGCTGAGGATGCTGAAAATGGTTAAAATATGAATTTTGTTTGATTCAGTATGGTAAAGTGTGTCATCTGTGGCTTTTGGTGAGAATGAGCGTGTGCTTATGTTCATGAGATGAAGAATAATAGGCAGAAGAGCTAATGAGAGAGGAGAAAATAAAGAACTGCAGCAAGGGAAGTGTTACGTGGCTGCCCCATTCCTTGCCTGAGTGCTCACACAAAGTGGAACTTTAAAAAAAAAAGAATCCGAAAGTGCTGAATAAAGCATTACTCCTCAGGCAGTATTTTCTAAGCTTGTTTTTCAAGGTTAAACCACCATAGATAATTCTGTGTGTAATTGGTGGCACAGTGTCTAATTCTGCAACTGTAGCAATGACAGAAATATATGCACAGTGCATGATTTAAACCCAGCTGAATGTTAAGATATCAACTGGGTGACAAAATCTCATGCAAAGCATCTTTTCCAGTTAATCTGTGTCCTTTCCTGCGTGGTCTTTCTTTCCTTTTAATCTGACTAGCACATGTCACTTGCTCTCGGAGGTGCTTGTGTTAATCAGTTTGCAGAAGTCGAAGCAAACTTTTACAGCCCAGCTGTCATTTGTTGCTTTACCCTACTAAATGCTGTTCATCCTTCTTCTCTATGATTCATCTTATTGTCTCTTTTATCTTTAAGGCTGCTGAGAAAAAGAACAAAGATCTTGAAGAGAAAGTCAGAACATTAAGGACAGAAGTTGAAGAGAGCAAACATAGGCAGACCAACCTTAAAACTGAATTAAAGAATTTTTTAGATGTACTAGACGGGAAGATAAATGAATTACATGATTTCCGACAAGGACTGTCTAAACTTGGGGTTGACAATTAGATGGCAATAGATTTTTTTGTAATCTAGGGTCTGGATGTTTGATGTTTTGTTGATCTCAAACGTGTTTTACAAAATATAACTAGAATGTTCCACTTGTTTGCATTGTTTTTGTACATAGAGGCTGAAAATTTGCTGTGGGGGTTTTTGTTTTGTTTTGTTTGTTTGTTTGTTTGTTTTCCAAACCAATCGTGCTGCTCACTGAATTCTGTTGAGATTAGAAACTTTCTATATTGCTGCTCTGGCTTCGTGCAGTTGGGAACAGGTAGAGGGTTCTGTCTCAGGAATCTGGAACTAGATCTACCTTAAAATGAATATGCAGTTAGTTGTTGCAGGGAAATTTATATCTTTCTTAAGGGCTGTTGCAACCATAGAAACAGAAAACAAGTCTTTTTCTTGTTCGGACTATCAGCACTCCTAGCAACATCCACTTTTACTCCTTGGTGGAGCAGAGAGAAGATTAGATGGAGCTCCTGCAGTTTGTAAAATGTGCCTGTGATGAGTTGCAGCCAAGTGAATCACTTCACACAGATACCAGTATCTTTATGGACCATGTCAATCAGGCCTGATTCACCAAAAAAATTCCAGTGGTTTTCGGATAACCTCCAATATAGGTTTCATGTGCTTGACTGGAACCATACAGCACAAAGTCAACAATGTAGAAATTAATTTCAGCTCTTCAAGTCATGCATCTTACCCAGTAGGTGTGGACAGCTTCTCTTGATTAGCAAGATCATCTCTCTTTGGCCTTCAATTTTTAACCCATACAGTTCTGTCATTATGTGGAGCTCTGAAAAATGCCCACCTGAGTCTTGAGACCAGATATTTATTCTAAAAAATGATATGTTGCTGGTTTATACAGAGGGAGTGTGCAACTTGATCACTGTTGATTAACTTCTGCAGTAGTGATGGAGACATTGATCTGAAAAGCAATATAAGGTTATTTGAAGTTGTTGCTCAGAAGCAAGTTTCTGCCCGGGAGACTGGAAGGGTCATGACCACATGAAATCAAAATCCTTTCCTATGTTTTCTGCATTCTCACCTCATGTGTCTTTGACAGTAGGGTAGGAAATAGTCACCAAGTTAGACTGTCCAAAAAAAAACCCCAACCTGAAAAGCAGAAATGCTTTTGTATTCTCAAACTGATTATTCAGCAGCTCTAAATATGTTTTGAGAAATGCAAGGTCATATGCTGGGCTCCAGCAAGAAGAAAATTCACATCATTCATGTCAAAATTCATAGACAGTGGCGCAAAAGGGCCAAAGAGGAGAATTCAGCCCAAGTTTTGCTCTTGCCCCTAGGACTGCCTTCAGCTTCTTTCTCTTCTTTCTCCATAACCTGGTTTGACAGTCTGTTTACATGGGATCTGAATTAATTCAGGAAAGAACTTTTGTTTATGTGACATTATTATTTCCTTAATTCAGGGGAAAGCTTGGTTAAGCACTGTGTTAGTGTATTCCAGCAGAAACTGATATAAAATGGCCTTACTTTTTTTTTTTTTATTTAGGGGCTTTTTTCTTTTCTCGACACATCTCAGTTATAGAAGTGACCTTTAGAAGAAAGATGGGTTATAGGTGAAACATGCATTGAATACTTTTTGCACACAGATATATAATCCCCATGCTGCAGATAAGTTCTGTCTCCAGTTGTCCCTTGAATTTTCATTTTATCTGTTACTGTTGCGTTGTCTTCATTGCCTGTTTTTTAGACTGGACTTCATGTATTTTTTGCTTTTACTCATTTTAAACAATGGATGTGAAGCTGGGACCTTTCATAACCATTATGACCATTTAAGTATCTTTAAAAAAAATTGCTGTAGGCTGTTGATATTTAAAAATAAAAATAAAAATCAGGTACATAGCATGTAGGCGTGTGAAAATTAGACTTTGCCAGCATGGAAGATTCAACAGTTGCATAATGTGGGGTTAGATCAGACTTCTCAAAATTGAAAATGACGTCAAAAACTGTGTGTGGCTGTACACAAGTAATCTCCAGTTTTAGTCTTTTTATTTGATAGCAAGTCAGATAGACACCATCATTAACAGGCAGTTTGTCCTGCTTCGTCTCTCTTCCCATGCTGCTTTAGAGTTCCCGAATTGCAGCCAGTCCCTGCATCAGCTGGGAACCAGTGGATAACACAGCTAAGAGCTGCAAGCAATATAGGTAGTCAGAGCCCTCCTCGTCACAGTGGTTTATTGCTTTCACACCAAAGACCTTGCTCCATCTTCTGTTTCCTTTTTCCTGTTGAGCAATCTTAGGGCTTCCTTCTTGGTTTTAATATAAAATATGAATTTTAACATGATTCTGACTAGAAGGATGCAAAAGACTCTGTGAACAAATTATTTTATTGGGGTTAATCCAGATCTTTTTTTCACTTTAGTCAGGTCTATCTCAGATCCAGTTCATTAGGAGTGTATTAAACCACTCTTAAATTACAAGAAAAGTGTTTCTATGGGATTGCATCAATTTAACAGATGGGGTTTAATGCTGGTGAATTAAACCAGTGCATAGCTCTGATGCAGGCAGTTATTTCTGGGTGCTTTGTGCCCACCAGAAGAATGATGGGGATGTCCTTAGAGAAATACCTGCCCTGTCTCTTTTAGTCTTGCCCCAGTTGTATGTTGCTGCTCTGATGTTGGGTTGTTAGCAATGCCTATACACAGCTATACGCTGTGGGAAACTCCATCCTTCAAGTATCCAAGTTCTTGCCATAATTACCTTCCTTCTCTCTTTTTCCTTCTCAACAGTAGTAAGTTGAGAGCTTCTATTTATAATCACTTAAAATTCTCCCTCAAACTCCATCTCTTTTAAACTTTCCCTCTCTTTCATTCTATTTTTTCTCCTTCAAAAGCCAAAAGCGTGCTAGGAAGAGGTGGTGCATGCTCTCAGGAGTGTTTGGACACCAGCTGCAGCTCCCGTCTCCAGCCTGGCCCCATCCCTGCACCAGGACTGGAGCCCCATGCGCCTGCTGAGCAGGGACCGGTGATGTCATACATTTCTTATTCCTTGACAATCCATGGTGGCCCAGCAATAACCCCTGCGTGCCAAACTGTGAGCCACACGCTGCTTCTCAGGGACTCGTCCCAGCATCAAAATGCCTCCTCCCTCCCAGCGAGAGCGCTGGGGTGGCCAGCCTTCCACCACCAAAACACCCACACCCCACCCTATGGATGCATTTGTATCTCCTTTTGGGTGTGTTGGGGTTTCAGCTCATCACCACGGGGACCCTGAGCCAGGGGCTGTGCTCAGCTGGCAGCCACCTGCTTAGAGACAGCCCCAAACACTGCTGGGGCCAAGAAATGCTCATCTCTGTTCAGGAGAGGGTCTGCAGAGCTTGGTTTTATTTGTTATTAAGATACAGTGGTTTTCCCATGATACCCTGGTTTTCCCATGCCATCAGCAATGAAGTAAATCATCGCTCCATTTCCGTCGAGCTCAAGCACAGGTATCTTTATACAAGGTTGTACCTCACCTTGGACAATTGTGGGTTTCCTTTCTGGACACAGGTTTCTCCCTCTAAGTGGTTGATGGCAGGATCTATCCTACCTCAGTTACATGGTCTTTTGTCAATAAAGGTCTTGTGCTTTGTACTTCCCATGCCGATACCTGCTGGCTGCTCTGCCGTGGATCCCGCCACGCTGCCCACCCTGCCTGGCTGGCCCCAGTGGCAGTGACAAGCTGGTGGCTCTGGAAAGAAAAATCTGTGCTGGCCTCTTGTGACACCGAGTTAGAGAGTGTCTTATTGCCTTCCGTGATTTCCAGTGAGCTGCTCCTTTGAGCTGGTGTTAGAGCTGCTGAATAATGGTGGGGTTGGGTTGTTTTGTTTTTTTTTTTTGGGGTGGCCAAAATGAGAAATAAACAGGTCTTCTTTATATTAGCACAAAACCCTAAAAATATTCAGTGACATAAAAATACATGGAGATAACTATTTTCAAGGGGAAAGAATCTTCCATTAGATATGCTATTTCACATTTTGGAAAATGACCTTAGCCTTATCTTTGGAATAAATTATTTCAAAGTGAAAAACTGAAACATTGTTTCACACCCCAAAATAAAATAGGTTAACCTTTTGCTTTTTTCCTGTTTGGCTGAATCTTTATTTGTTGATTTTGACTCAACTTCCAAGTAGTTTTGTTTGGCCTAAACATTCATTGTCAGCAAAATTAGTACTTTCCAGTGTTCTTCTGTCTACATCTAATTGATATCTCCTTTACTAAGTGAGCTCACTGGAAGAAATCTGTCTTTTCTGTAAGAAATTCGGTGCCACTTCTCACTTTTTATATCCTAGCATTTTTAAAAATAGTTTTACACTGGGTGCATCTGTGCCCAGAAAACAAATGTTATTTAGACAATGCCTTTTTTCTAGACAAACTATTGATTTTATTTTTATGTGAGTGAATTAGGGTGAACATTTTTTAAAGCTGCTCAATGAATTAAGGAGAGCAGGAAGAGTTTCTGCTGTTCCTCCTGCCACTGCCATTGCTTTTGAAGAACACCAGCAAAAGTATTTGTGGTGTTAAGGTGGGTGCTTGACCTGTGTTCATCCTGTTTGCTTAGTGGCTCCTCAGGCATGGGGAGCCCATTTCCCTTCTCAGGAGGGCACAGATTGTCCATAGGCTTCTGCACTCTTCTGTATACTGCTTATTTTTTTCTCCCTTATTAATTTCTTGCCACCTTTGGCTCCTTCGTAAATGAACGAAGGAAAATTCCCCATTACTGCCACTGTCTCATAGTGATGGGAGTTTCTCAGCTACAAGACCATGCTCTTTGTTAGGATCTTCTGAATAGTTATCTCTGCAAAACCCTTCAAAGCATCAATGGCTTGTAAGGAATATAGTGCTGTCTTCCTGAGCCTATGGATTAGCAAAGATAAAGCTGCTATCAGGGTGAAACGCCCCGCTCGGCTTAGTGCATGAGTGATGCTGAATCCAAAGGGAACGGGTGTAAAGGGGAATCAGCAGCAGCAGCTCATTTTGACAACCTTTTCAGCAGAAGCTTCAGTGAAAGATGTGCTCTGCCCACAAGCTGTGGATGTGCCAAAGGTCTGGGATGGCTGCACTGATCCGACAGCTCATCCACCTTTGTCCAGGCAGTTCTGGGCTTGTCAAGCCTGCAAATATCAAAAAGTCCTCCGCATATCACAGCTGTGGCAATGTGAGGGATGGAAGGCAAACGTCTGCACGCAGAGCTGAACAGCGCGAGAGCATTGCAGCAACGGCGCTGGTTTGTGGTCAGACGCTTTCAGTCAGAAACAGGAAAAGCTGTTGCTGTCCTACGTGGGTTCAGCAGTACCGGACACCTACAGAAGGGCAAGTGCAGCTTTCGGGGGGGCTGCGAGGCAGCAAGGACTCCCAGGCTGGTCTGGCAGGGTCTGGATGTGGGCATGGTTTAGCAATGGTAAGACACAGCTACCCTAAGGTAATTTTTCTTTCCATGGATCATGTTCAACAAACACCTGTGTGTCAAGCAAAGCAATATGTAGCCACAAGACGTTTAATCCAGACACACCTCCAGACAGAGTCCCAGCTGGCTGACACAGCCTGGCTGGGGATGCCGTGCCCAGACTCCTGCGCCCGGGGGAGCTTGGCAGTGCTTTTGGTTCATTATTAGAATATAAACCTGGTAGTTACATGAAGTTTGCATGTCTTAAATACCGTTCTTTGCGGTAAATTATAAGGTACCTGAAGGGAAATACAGAGTCAGGAGGTGCATGATAAATGTGACAAAGGTGCTTCCCAAACGAGGGCTTTCCTGCAGGCTGTGGGCAGAGCTGGTCCTGTTCGGAAGGGCTTGGCTTGCATCCCTGGGGGATGTTGGATGTCTAACCTGTTTGACTTTCTACTGTGTTTTGTCTTAGCTCTTATTTTTTTTAATTTTTGGTTTGTTGTTTGGTTTTTTTTTTAAAAAAAAAAACAGATAGCTTAAACATACAGTCTTCAGATGAAGGTGCCTATACCTCCAAAAATTTTATATGCATGTTTTGAAATAACTTTCTTTTTTCTTTCTGGTCATTTGGTTACCTAATAATACTGGTACATACAAGAAAGGCACTTGAGAAAAATCTGTCTGCTGTTGTATTTTTGTTTGGGTTGGTTTTGTGTTGGTTTTTTTTTGTTTGTTTTTTGTTTTTTTTGGGTTTTTTTAACACTGGTCAGCAATAATTATTTTAGCCATATACTAGCTAAAAAGACTAATAATGTAAGATTTGTGAACTAAGCTTCTAAGTCTGCAGTACATTGATTAACTTGGTTATGTGAAGAGGGAGCTATGCTCAATAAAAGAGTATTTTGCAGCATTTAGATGTTTTCATTTAATTGCCTAATAGTGATCATGAACATAATAGTCTATAAAACTCATCATGAATGACAAACAAAGCACATCATTTTTAACATGAATATATCCCTTGTAGTTGAAAGTTCTGAGAGTGTTTTAGTGTGGTCTGCTATACCAAAATATTTAGATTATTATGAGATTTTAGTACTAAAGATAAACATACACCCTGTTTTTACTGTTTCAAGTAAAGTTTAGTGAATGGCTGACAATTTGTTGATATACAACTGTGGGAAAACACTGCAGTGCTCTAAATGTATATTTTTGTTTGGGTTTATTATATTTAGTATATGTTTTAATGAAAACTGAAGTGTTTACTACAGTTGGATCATTGTACAAACATCTCTTACCTCGTCATTTTGTCTGCTGTGAAAAAGTAATTTCCTCTTCTTTTTTTTTTTTTTTTTTCAAATTGACCATAAACAGTCAATGTTAACATTTAGACTCTAGTAGCAGTAAATGCTGGGTTTTATATATATAAAAGGAAAACTTGATTTTTTTCTTTATGAACTTATTATATAACTTTGTGATTTTTATCTGATTTTATTGTAACATAAAGTCGTTTTATGTAAAAATATATAGTTTAAGTAAAATCTCTTGTCTCACTGTCTTCATTAACTTTGGAAAGTGAGCATCCTTGTGGCTGCAAATCTGAACTCAAGTTATTGCTGTCCTTTGATAAGAAGAATGTGACCTATATATATGGTATAGTGCCTTAGATAATCTCAAAAATTCTTTTTTAGGAGGTGGAGTTTTAAAATACTTGTCTTTCTCCACGTCATACAGTTAGCACATCCAGAGGGGAGTTTGGGATTGGGGCAGGTAAATACATAACTGAACTGGAAAAACAGTACCTAGAAATATTTTGGTGTGAAATTTTGGACTTCTTGCATGCTGAGGAAGCTTCATTAGGAGAAGGCTTTTTGTTGCCCTGTTTGGGGGATGCTTGGGATCGAAAACCCTCTTGTGATTCCTGTAACTGATGTAGCAGCCCCTGCTGGCAGCTAGAGCTGGTGTTTTCTCTGGAGGAACTACCTAGGATTCAGACATAACCCTCTGTGTTGAAATTAGAGATGTTTTGACACACAAACTCTCGCATCAGCATATGGTGGTCAATAAGAGCCCTCCCAGCAGAGACTGTTTCCCCAGGACCCCGCTGGTGTCCAGTGACACAGTCCACACCCAACAGCACATCCCTGGTAGGGGATAACGCTGAAGTCCATCTACAGACAGTATGTAATGATGCACTCAGCATCGTCATATTCATCATACAGAAGCAGGACTGCTGTCTTTGAACCAAACCAGGCTTCCCCAAAAGGAAATAAGAAGTTTTGAAGACTTTTAAATGACTGAGGTTCATTGTGCCTTCGTTACTCTGGGCTACAAGGCTGCAAATGTCATCTTTGGTGTGAAAAAGAAACATGTCCGCCCCTGACTTTTTGTCAGAGCTCTTCTACCAGGAGCCATCAATAGCTCTGATGAGCAATTCAGCAAATTCTGGCAGTCCCTGAAAAACCTAAGTAGCTATAAAAGCCAGTTTATAGGTGCTCTAGTAAAATGAAAGTAACGGTCTCTAATTCTTAGCAAAAAAAACATTTATCTATTTGTACTTGCATAATTATAAAGCTTAGTATACATGTGTGTACATTCCATCACCTACAGTTATCAGAAACAAGCTTCTTTGTCCGCCACTGAGCAAGCTGATGATCTCACAGTAAGCATTTCCATGTATCAGCGTTAGCACCCTTCTCCGGTCATGCATGGGGAAACATCTCGTGTCACGAGTCGTGTGGAGGTGCCTGTTCGGTACAGGCACATCTGACACTTCTGCAGGTTAATCACCTCATTAAGTCCAGGATATAATTTTAGCATCAAGAAAGTCACTGGTCTGTGTAAAAAGCTGTTCCTCATCAACTGTTTGTGACACAGGCGACCAGTGTTTCCAAAAGAAACAGCCTGGTCCAGGAGTTGTGATGAGGGATGCTGCTGGCAGGGGAATCTGCTGCTGTTTGTCTGTAATCATTTAATTTTCACCTTTGACTGGATTCCTATCAGAGAGCTCAGGACTCTCCTCAATGGGGTGTGTACTCCCGCAGTTACCCATCAAACAGCGTTTTACCTAATTGCATGATACTGAACTGTGATGTGCCACCTTGGGATCGTTGATGAAAATAAGAGCTAAAGTAAGATGAAGTTTAAGTTTAATGTTTGACACCTAAGCAGAAAAATGACTCTATAATATGTACTTGTTTGGTTAGCTTGTATTACTTCGACAGCACAGGAAAAGCTAGGCCCTAATTTCTTTCCTTTTGGAGGAAAGAAATCCACCACATCACCATGGGGGAGGCCTGTATAAAAGCAGTATAGTGGATGAGATCCCTGAGCAGGAACAGGCTTGCTCTCTCTGTAACATGTATAAGTGATGACAGGCCTGAACTTACATACAATTCAACATTATTCTGTCCCACGCACTCCAAATGCTTTTAATGTTCCACACTTTTAATTTAAAGGCATGTCTGCACCAACAAGGGAAGAAAAGAGGATGTGTTAATTATATATTATTCTCTTAACTGTCTCCCCACTTCCTGGAAGACTTGAGCATTTATGCACAAATCCACCAATACATACAGAAATGTGCGTACATTTTCTTTAGTCTTTTTATCTCCTAAAAAATATCCAAAAGCTTGTAATAATTTTAATGATTTACAACATTAAATATCCTTCACATAATCAACATTGATGACCAGAGCAGAACAAGCAGCACTGGTGAGCCTAATACAGGGCTAACCTCCTATGAACAACTGAAATGCATATTTTAGATATAAAAATATGACAGTAGCAGCTGAAAAAGTAAAGCTAGGCAATGCAGCAGTGGTGCAACCATGCTTCGGCCACTGAACCAACTGGAGTAAAGTCCAACCATCTTTCAAAAGCAGAAAAAAAATACCCTGCCGGGTGCACTGCCAGGTTTGATTTCAGTAAGAAACACTAAAAATGGCCATCCAAAGACTCATAAAGCAGCTCTGCAAGGGCCGTGGCAGTAACCTGCAACGTGGCTTTCCATTTTATCACTTAACACTCAGCACTGCCATGTAGCTGTCCCAGACTGAGAATATCTGAGAACTGGTGAATTTTTCAAAGCTTGTCTAACCTTTGCAAGGCAAACATCTCCGATCTTACTGCAATAATGCATTGCTGGGAACATTTGACAGATCATCGCAGCTGAGTGGTACTTAACTCTGACCTCTGCCTGCGAATTTTTCAAAGACGGATCGCCATGGTATGAAATTCCCTTTGGGTCTTAACACATTCCTTGAAAATTGAATATATTTCAATAACTTTTCAGAACTGTTAGACCTTCTCAGAAGCACTGTCTGAAATTAAATGATGTCTAGATGGAAAACTGCAGGTTTTCATTTGAGTTGAAAATAAGAGATTTTCGTGTGCAGACATGGGGCCCAGCTTCTGGCTTTAAGGCTGATACCTCAAGTGTACAGGACCAGCAGCTTTAGACACATTCTACTGAATCAATCCTGCTCTAGCAGAGCTTTGGGGGCCCTACTGTTCTCCACCATAAAACGCATCCTGAGTTGTATCCAGGCTCCCAGAGCTAAACCCCACACAGCTTTCCGGGGCAGTGCTTCCATGCGTGGCTGGATGCTGCAGTCTGAGTGAGGGCTTAAATACCCTGAACAACATTTCTTGACAACAGTTTGCATCTAATTAGTCAAATTTGTGAGCAGATACATCTATTGGTACATGAAGCACGTTGATTTGAGTATTTTTGTTTTCCTTTCATATCCTCTTCATTCATTAGTACTGGCAGTCTATGAAAAAGAAATCTGTTGCTGCTGTAATCAAGAGAGATTGAGCTCTTGCTTTTCTCCCAACTTTTCATCATTGAATATGATTTGTTGCATATGCCCTGGCTTCTGCTTAATGTATGCTGGCTGGAGGGAATTCAGATATTCAGGGAATTATAAATAATACCAGCACAGGCAACCTTTTTGCATTATCATGTCACAGTGAAGTGTATCAGTTTTCAAAGCTATTTTCTTTTAGGTTTTGCTATTTATTTCATTGCTACTATTAGCCGTGGCTTTCATTTTTTTGTGGATGTGGGTTTGCATTGTTCATTGGCCTGGAGATGAGTGATGCAAAATGAGATTCCCAAGTTCCCTGAAGAGCAAAGAACCCAGGAAAGAAACAAAGTATTTATGTCTTTCAAATCCTGCCTGTCTATAGCTGCGCTGGGTGCATTTATAAAGATAATCCCTGGCTCTGAAACCTGAGAAATTGCAGTGATTCACTTTCTCCTTACGCTGTGGAGGTTCCACGGTCATCAGCACAGTCATTTCAGTGGGAGGGGACTGGTGTTAGGACAGGGATAAGAGACACACAAATGCTGTTTAAAAAACAAGAAGGAAAAGCAGCACATATGCATTGCACTGCAGCCTCGCTCTTCTAAATTATGGACTTTAACATTTTATATGCCTTATTTGTTCAGATGAAAGGCAGCCAGGGTCTGTATCCTGGTCCCTCGGTAAGGTGAGCTGCGGCATCCCTTGGAAATCCACAGCTTCAGCTGCACTACTTTTGTATCTCATAACTGGGTACTGGAGCTAGAAGGTGAAACCTCTGAACTGCTGAGGATTTTGAACAAGCTCTGGACAATTTTCTTCAGATATGGTTGATATAATAGATTTAAATTTTTTATACCTTCTGAATGAACCAACATTGCTAATCACAGCTAGCTCCTCTTTAGAAAAGAAGTATGAAGACATAGATAGGCTATTTCTTATGTGCAACTCCTTGTTTCTGTGTGTGAAAAATACATATGAAAGCCAACACTAGTACTTTTTTTTTTTTTTTCCCCACTGAGTGTGCAAACAGGGACTGAGAAGCACAGTGTTTCAGCAAATTAATTTGGGCTGCCCTTGTCTTGCAGACTGCCTTATTTTGTGCAAAATGTGGAGCAGTACTGACATGCCTCATCCCGCAGCCTCCTTTGGGTCACACCCGGTGACTGCGGTGGAGCCCAGCAGGCTCAGCAAACCTGTGCCGCAGGAAAACTCTGCTTGTCACTAGGTGCCTGCTTCACCTCTGGTCCAGATGTCTCCTTGCCCATTTAAAGCTCATTATAGCTATACAGCTAACTGCAGCCTGCCAGCCTGCCATTCACCTCGCCCTGGGGAATACCGCCGCCGCTGCTGGCAGCCGTCCCGCAGGGATGGATGCTGGGCCACAGAGCCAGCCCCATCCCTGCCACCGGCTACGGCATGGGGAAACCCTGTCCTTAGGGGAGCAGGCGGCTGCCTTGAGTGCAGGCAGAGGCCCTGGTGCTCGCTGGAGAGCGATGCCGAGGGGGAACAGGCATGTCACACACACAGGCTGTGTCTCCCCGGTGTGCAGCCCTTTTCCCTGCAGCAGATGCTTCCCGAAGCAGTTACATGCACAAAGTGCTCCTTTTGGCACAGCAGACAAGATGCACTTCTGCTTCACCACTCTGCGTGCCTGCACGCTCATGCACACTTTTCAGTGCTTTTATTCCAAAATAGAGGGCCTGCCAGCTCGGGAGGAAGGGAACAGAGCA